TTCACCCTGCCCTGGTGATTCCCTGAGATCCTTCCCCTACCCAAATAGCACACCTGGTCTAAGCGGCTTCCAGTGGCTTTTCACACAAGTGCCATGCCTTGGATCATGCTGTGGACTTCCCTAAAATCTCTCAGAAGTCCACAATCTCTAATAAGTAGTTGCTGGCCTTGGTGTGCCATGTACCTCTTATTAAGTGGTCCCAACCCTGGCACTAGTGACAACCTGTCTCAACTTACATTGTAACTCCCTTCAGATGGTCCCAGCATAGCATACGGTGCAACCAATGATAACGTGGAACACAGCTTCCACTTAGCAGCCACAAGCCCAGGAAAAGTGGTGACTGGCCTCAGCTCACATCATGGTGCCCACTAAATGGACGTGACTCTGACACTAGTGGCAGGCGACCTGAGTTCGCAGCATGGCCTCTCCCAAGTGTATCCAAGCTCAGAACCGGTGACAACCAACAGCCAATCACTTTGTAGCTCCCACCAGTGGCCAAAAACCAGGCACAAACAGCAGTGGACCTTGGCCTGCACCAGAGCTCCTCCTAAGAGATTCCAGAACCAACTAACCTGATGGCTGACTTCAGATCACAGCAGAGCACCACCGAAATAGCTCTACAAACATACCCAAAGGGTGGAGTCAGCTGGCGCCAGGGCCCTGCTAAGCAACTCCTGACCCATGGAGTCAGCCCCTGACAACAGCTTGTCTGTTGTAGGCACAGCCAGCTCACAGCCAGTTAATGTGAGGGTCAATCTTATACAGTGACATGTCAACAGCAATCAAGTCTCAGCTACAACAAAGCGCACACACAAGCTACACAAGGGACACTCTTGGAACACCCGCTCAGTGAACAGGGAGACTGTGCCTAGGACAGAGCCCTAAAATATATACAGTAGTCATTATCTGTAAATCAGATTTTAAACTCTCAATCATTTGTGAATGTAATAATCAAAGAATAATTCTTTGTTTAATAGTTTGTTTTACTGCATTTTTTTCCATTACCATTTATCCCCTTATACCATCTTCCACCTCTACCCATCCCCCTGCCCCTCTGCCGTCACCACACTGCTGTCCATGTCCATGAGTCCTTTTTCTTTTTTGCTCAATCCCTCCACCCCCAATTCCTCCTTCAGAGCTGTCAGCCTCTGCTCTACCTATGAGTCTGTCTCTATTTTGCTTGTTAGTTCAGTTTGTTCATTTAAGTCCACATATGAGTGAAACCGTATGGTATTTGTCTCTGACTGGTTCATTTCATTTAGCATAATGTTCTCCAGGTCCACCCATGCTGTTGCAAAGGGTAAAGTTTTCTTCTTCCTTATTGCTGAGTAGTATTCCATTGTATAAATGTCCCATGGTTGTTTTATCCACTCATCTACTGACAGACACTTAGGCTGCTTCCAAATCCTGGCTATTGTAAATAACACTGCAATGAGCATAGGGGTGCATATATTCTTTCAAATTGGTGTTTTGGGTTTCTTTAGATAAATTCCCAGAAGTGGAATTGCTGGATTATAAGGCAATTCCAGTACTTAGTATTTAGTATTTAGTAGAAAGCAGTGGCTGCACCAGTCTGCATTGCCACCAACAGTACAGAAGGGTCCCCCTTTCACCACATCCTCACCAGCACTTGTCATTTGTTGATTTATTGATAGCCATTCCAACAGGTGTGAAGTGATGTTTCATTGTGGTTTTAATTTGTATTTCTCTGATGATTAGTAACATTGAGCATCTTTTCACATGTCTATTAGCCACCTGTATGTCCTCTATGGGGAAGTGTCTATTCAGGCCCTTTGCCTATATTTTAACTGGACTGTTTGTTTATTTTCGGTGTCCCGTTTTATAAGTTCTTTATAAATTTTGGATATTAACCCCTTAATCAGATGTATATTGGTGAATATGTTCTCACAATCTGGTTTGTCCTTTCATTTTGTTGATGGTTTCCTTTGCTATACAAAATCTTTTTAGTTTGATATAGTCCTATTTCCCTATTTTTTTTCTTTTGTTTCCCTTGCCTAAGGAGCTATATCAGAAGAAATACAGTTATGAGCAATGTCTGAAATGTTACTGCCTATGTTTTCTTCTAGGATTTTTATGGTTTCAAGTCTAACATTTAAGTCTTTAATCCATTTTGAATTTATTCTTTGTGTGGCATAAGGTGGTCTAGTTTCAGTTTTCTGCATGTATCTGTCCAATTTCTGAACCCTAATAAATCTGTCCACTTACTGAATAAACTACCTTTAGTCATTTTATATTTTGGCCTCCTCTGTAAAATATTGACCATAAAGGTATGGGTTTATTTCTGGGCTCTCTATTCTGTTCCATTGATCTGTGCCTGTTTTTATGCCAGTATCAGGCTGTTTTCATCACTACGGACTTATAGTATAGTTTGATATTAGATAGTGTGATTCCTCCAACTGTTTTTCTTCCTCAAGTTCCTCTTCTCAAGACCAAGGATGTGGAGAAAAGGGAAGCTTAGTGCACTGTTGGTGGGAATGCAGACTGGTGCAACCATTTTGGAGTTTTCTCACAAAATTAAAAATGAAACAGCCTTTGACCCAGAAATTCCACTTCTGGGAATATATACAAAGAACCCCAAAACACCAATTCAGAAGAATATATGCACCTCCATGATCACAGCAGCGTTATTTACAATAACCAAGATTTGGAAACAGCCTAAGTGTCTATCAGTAGATGAGTAGATTAAAAAAAAGCTGTGGTACATTTACCCAATGCAATACTATGCAGCAGTAAAAAAAGGAGAAATTCTTACTGTTTGCGACAGCATGTATGGAACTATTATGCTAAGTGAAATAAGCCAGGCAATGAAAGACAAATACCACGTGACCTCACTTATAACTAGAATCTAAGGAATAAAATAAACTAATGAGCAAAATAGAATCAGAGGCACAGAAACAAGGAACAAATTGATAAGTGTAAGAGGGGAGAGGGGAGGGCAGGATTGGCTGAAAGAAGGTGAAGGGAATAGACAGAGAGCATATATGTATGACCAATGGGCATGAATAGCAATATAGGGATTAACTGTGAGGTGGGGAGGCTGGGGTAGGGGGCAAAAGGGGAAAAATTGGAACAATTGTAATAGCATAAACAATAAAAAATTTTTTTAAGAAATAACATTAGTTCTTAGGTTATAAGTTCAAAAAATAATTAAAACATGTAAAAGAGGTCAGCAAATTAATGTCTACTGTCCACCAATTAAGTGCAGTCATTTTTTCATATGTACTCAATTTGCCACAATAACCTTTTAAGTTAGATACCAATTCTTAAGATAAGGAAACAAGCCCTGGCCCATGAGTCTCAGCTGGTTGGAGCATCATCTAGTAACCAAAGGGCTGTGGTCTGATTCCCAGACCAAGTGCATAGGGAGGCAACCAGTCAACATTTCTCTCTCACATCCATGTTTCTCTTCCTCCCCTTCTTCTTTCCCTTCCTCTCCCTTGCTCTCTAAGAGCCATAAAAAAATAAATAAATAAATAAGTCCTCAGGTAAGAATAAAAAATTTTTTTTTAAATAGGGAAACAAATGACTTAAATAACTTGTGCCAGGTCACAAAACAACCTGTAACCCCAGAAATTCAAAGGAATTTTGTCTGACAGTAGTACTTGAGAGAATCTACCATTATTGTCTGGGAATAATCAGATTTTTGACTCATAAGAATTTAGGGCTAAAAGATCATCCAAATTCTTTATGTTACAGATAAAGAAGTTGAACCCTGGCTGGGTTACTCAGTTGGTTAAAGTGTCATCCCATACACCAAAAGGTTGCAGGTTCCTGGTCAGGCCATATACCTAGGGTATGGTTCAATCCCCAATCAGGGTGTATACTGGAGACAACCAATCGACATCTCTCTCTCACATTAATGTTTCTCTCTCTCTCTCTTTTCCTCTTTCCCATCCTCTCTCTCTAAAAAGCAATGAAAAAATGTCCTCAGCTGAGGGTTAAAGAAAAAAGTGTATCTTGCATATTATTGATGATGACCAAAACTTTTTCACATAAAGGAAGTAAAATAAATGAGTTCATGTAGTTAAAGCATTGTTCTTATGTGGACTATTTTTCATGGCCACAGGTATACACCTAAATTGTTAGATGCTTTGCTTTTGAGTATAATGGGATGTTGGCCCAGAGGCTGAATAGTTAGTGGGCTCTTTATCCCTACTAGAAAAACAACTCAAAGTGAATGCCATATGTCTAGTAGTGGATATATAGATAACATTGTCAATGCCAACTCTCTTATAAATTATTGTCTTGTATACAGCTTTAGTGAACTTAAGTATTTTATATATTTTGGTTAAGTTCCTTAATCTCTAAGGCTCTCAACTAACTTTCTTTTTTTTAAACCTCACCTGAGGATATCAAAACTGCAACTTTTCGTTGCAGGATGATGCTCCAACAAACTGAGTCACACCAGCCAGGGCAAGATACACTTTTAAAATATATTTTCTTTTTTAAAAAATGTACACCTACCAACAAGCCAAAATGTGGTCAAAAGTTTCCAAGTTCTGTCATACCAAACCATAATCAAAGAATTAGTATAGCTGCAGTATTAACTTCTTTAGAATTCCAATATAGTCATTAATCATTAAAAAGATCTTTTACCAAACAGCATTTTGTATCCATTAAGCATATTTCTTTGATCATTAAATAAAAGTCAGTCCACCATTTTTATTCAACAATTAACACACTTTCTCTCTCTCATGCACACACACAAACTCTATTCAACTTTTTCAATTAATTTTTAACTAGTTATACTTACTGCTATAATTTTCACAAATCATAAGAAAGGCAATAACATTTTAAAAGGTACAAGGGTCTCAGTATGTGTTATATTCCAAATGCAGTCCATCTGTCACATATCAGATTTCAGAAAGGAAAGAGTTACCAGGATTCTAAAAACACTTTTTTTTCTAACAAGACAAAGCTCTTTCAAGATAGCCTACCAGGGATACTTTAAAATCAATTTAGCACACCTAATGACATACCTAAGGAATCCCTGGTCTGTTGACTGTTTGGTGGTATGTTTTCCTTAGCCATGGAGATTAATATTTTACTGTTTTCAGAAAGTTTCTCTGATGCTTTTCCCTGAAAGAGATATAATAGTTACAAAAGCAGAAGGAAAAAAACTTACAAAATAAAAAATTCATCTTGGTACTTTAAACAACTTAACAAAATTACATGGTATATCATAAAAGATATTTAAGTATAAGGCTTGGGGAATTAACCAAAGCACTTAATACTATAATAAATGTTCTATTATTTAGCTCATTCACTTATCAACAGTTACTGAGTTCCTTCAGGGCACTGTCCCAGACATTGGAAATACCTGAGTAAAAAAATTACAGTAATCTGTGCCATCATGGAGCTTACAAACTCCTCTGGAGACAAACAAAAACTGTAACACATAATTATGCTATGTAATATGTAGGGAGTGATAGGGAGGGACTACAGGAAAAAATAGAGCAGGGTATGGAGGCCCAAAAATGATGGGGGATGTACTACAAGGCCTCACTGAGCAGGTGATACGTGAACTAACACTTACAGATTATTATTTATGTACTATTTAATATTATAAATTATAATAAATCTGTATTTAAACACTGTAAGCCAGTCCTAAGTACTGGAGAGTGGTTAAGAGAATAGACTGTGGATCTGGACACATGAAGGTTCAGATCCTGAATCCACCACTGTGTGTACCTGGACAAGTTACTTAACCCCTTTCAGCCTCACTTTTCTGATCTGGAAAAAAAAATTCCATCTACTTCACAGGGACATTACCATTAAATGAGATAATACGTGCGCAGTCTTTTGCACAATTCCTCGTACATGGCCGATATTATGGCAGAAAGACAACCTAGCATGGTGGTCAAGAGAACAAGCACCAGATTCACATTACCAGGGATCAAGGCCTCATTCTGCTAACTATCATTTTAGTCACATTACTTACCTTCTCCATGCCACAGTTTACTCATTTGTAAAATGATAATAAAAACAATACTTACATCACAAATTTATGTGAAATATCAATGCACTCTTGTAAGACTTTGCCTCATCCATGTTTTGCACACAATAAATGTTAACTATGTAAGGTCCTATATGATTATTAGGGTATACATATTATTTGTTATCTCAACCAAGATACCTTTGTCCAGGACAAATGCTAAACCAGATGAGACACTGGGACATCAGGGACACCAGGACCGTCTTGGACAAACCAGTACGTGTGGTTACACTCCTTACAATGGACCATATGGCACAAATTAATCTACATCCTCTACCATATTACATATACTGAGCCCATGAAAAAAGTGCCACATCTGTCCAGATTGGTGCTGTACTGACAGCACCTAGCAGAGTCTTAATAAGTATTTGCTAAAATTTGTTGAATCACTTTAAAAAAAAAATAGGAAAGTTTAAGAAAGCTTTTTCAGAACTGCTTTCAGAAACATTTTAACAAATTTCTATTCTGAAAAGTATAAAATATAACAAGATATTCTAACAAATTCATTTTTGTAGACTTCAAAAAATGTTAAAAACAATGATTCATTAATATATTGAACTTTTCCACATAGAATAAAATTTGCTTTTATACCTATTCTGCTTATATTCTGAAAGTTCCTTGTACTAGAGGTAGTCTAATTATTTTATGAAGCACATAAAATATTAACTAAAACTCTAGTAAGAGATAGGAGAAACTGTGAGATATAAAACACCACAAACAAAAAACTGCATTCAAATCACTGAAACCTTGTCCCAGGTCAGGCTCTCACAACGTATAGCCAACTACAGTATGAAAGCGAAGAGTCTGACTCAGAGCAGAGGGTGCTTGCATTTACACCGGGGTAATCTTCGGAAACAATTTTAACGAAACATGTTGGAAGAAAATCATTAACTTTACCTTCATTTCCATGTAAGGTGGATCACTTTCCAATTCTGCTTTGTCTTTGGCCAATTTGGCTTTGCACTCTTCAATAAATTTATCCAAATTATCAGCCATTGTGCAGATACTTAAAAACAACAAAAGGAAACAAACAAAAAAAAAAAAAAAACTACTGCAATGAGCACAGCTACAACTGTATCAGAATATTTTTAGGCTAATTATTAACATGCAAGCTTAGTCTACATTTAGCATTCAATCTCATTTATCAAACTGAGAACTTCAAACAAGACTAACTGAAATATGCCTGCCTCCTTTCTCTCACTAATCCCCCAAAACACCTACAATATACTTTAAAATATCTGAATATAAATAAAAAAGAAAACAGCCACTACTACCATTCCAACCACATATACATCCAAAACTCTGAACCTTAAGTCAAAATACTTTTTTTTAAGTTTTTTATATAACTATTTGGAGGTAATTTTGAACTTACATAAAAGTTGCAACACTAAGAATGGCACAAAGAACTGTATACTTCTTGTCTACTGTTAAGATTTTGCATCACTTGTTATTTCTCGCATTCATACAAGTTCTCTCTTTACACACACAATTTTTTTCTAAAATTATTCAGAGGGTAAATAACACATATCATGGCACTTAGTCCCTAAATGTTTCAATGTATATTAAGATTAGGTTATTCTGGCCCTGGCCAGGTGGCTCAGTTGGCTGGAGCATCATCCCACGCACCAAACTGTTGTGGGTTTGATCCCTGGTAGGGGCACACACCTAGGTTTCAAGTTCAATCCTGGTTGGGGCGCATACAGGAGGCAACTAATCAATGTTTCTCTCTCTCTCATTCTACTCCCCCCAACCCCTTTCCTCTCTAAAATCAATAATGTATCCTCAAATGAGGATAACAAATTTTTTTTAAAAAATGAAGTCATTCTCTTACATAACCTCAATGCAATTATCAACTTTAGTCACGCTAATTTTTTTAAACTATTGCCCATGTTCCCGTATTGTCATCTGACCTTATAGAGTCCTTTACAACATATTTTTCTCTCTCCAGCTCAGATCCATTCTAAGTTAGGTATTGAATTTCATTGTTACCGCTCTTTAGCCTTCTTTAATTTGAAACATTTCCATACTTTCCTTTGTCTTCTATAACATTGATATTTTTTAATACAGCCTACCCAACAGTCCTCATCTGAGGTTTGCCTGATGTTTCTTCATAATTAAATTCAGGTTATGCATTCTCAGAAGAAATACTTATTAGATGGTGATATATCCTTTTCAAAGTGTCAGCAATTAGTGATACATGATGTCCATGTGCCCTTTATTAATGATGTTATTTTTGATCACTTGGTGAAGACATTGTCTGATTTCTGCACTACCTTTTTCTTATAATAAGCAGTCTAAAGAAGATACTTCCAGACCATGAAAATACCCTGCTCCTAATCAAAATGTCTGAGATTTAAGCATCAATTGGTGATTCTTAATTGATTCAATCTCTAATTCTAGATGGCTGCAAAATGCTGATTTCCCAATTCCACCACTCCCTGAACTTATTTACCCACTGGCACTTATTTTATTCTAAAAGCCCTTCCTTCATCTGCATTTATTTATTAGCTTATTATCAGTATAGACTCATGAATTCATATTTTTTCATTAAGCCCTGGAATTATTTTAAACCATAAGCTGTTGTTTTATGAAGAAAAAGTTATATACCAAAAAATTCACCCATTAGAGTGAACAGTTCTGTAAGTTGGTAGTAAATCGATAGAGTTATGCAATTATCACCACAATCACTCTTTCTAATGCTTCCATTAACCCAAAAAGCCTTCTCATGACTTTTTGCATCCAGTCCTCACTCTCACCCCCAACTCAGGCAACTGTCGATCTGTTTTCTGTTTCTATAGTTTTGTCTAATCTAGAAATTTCATATAAGTAAATCATACAATATGTAGTCTTTTGTGTCTGGCATCTTTCACTTAACCATAATATTCTTTTTTAAATTTTTATTTCTTGATTTTAGAAAGAGAAAAAGGGAGGGAAGGAGAGAATGGGAGACAGACAGAAAAAGAGAGAAACATCAATTTGTCATTCATTGGTTGATTCTTGCATGTGCCCTGACCAGGTATCAAACCCACAACCTTGGCATATCAGGACAACCTTCTAACCAACTGAGCTACCCAGCCAGGGCCTACCATAATTTTTTTGAGATTCACCCTTACAATTGCATCTATTAATTAGCTGGTGTTTTTTTTTTTTTTATTATTATTGTTAGGTACTTTCCACTGTATGGAAATACCACGTTTTGTTTATTTATTCACCCATTGCTGGACATCTGAGTTATTTCCATTTTTTGCCAATTTATGAATAGTCCTGCTACGGACATTCATGTACAGGTATCTGTGCGGAGATATGGTTTTTTTTAAATTCTCTTCAATACAAACCTAGGAGAGAAACTACTGAGTCCTCTGAAACTCTGTGTTTCACATTTTGAGGAACTGTAAACAGTTCCTCTAAGTGTAAAGTGGCTGTACCATTAACATTCGAACCAGCAGTGTTGCAAAAGTTAACTGGAAATGGGTCACAGACATAAATGTATGAGAGACAAACTATAAAACTTCTCAAGGAAAGCATAGAAAAAATATTTGTGATCTTGGGCCAAGTAAAAATTCCATACACATGGCACAAAAAGCACAAACTGATTAAAAATTGATAAAAAATGAAAGAACCTTTGAACGAGTGTTGCCATTTCTATACATCCTCATCAATGCTTGGTTATTTTCAGTCTTTTTTATCTTAGTCATTCTATTAGGTGTGCAAGAGTACCTCACTGTTTTTAACTTGAATTTTTCTAATGACTATGATGTTCAGCAACTTTTCATGTGCTCATTTGTCATTTCTATGTCCATATATAACTACTGGCAAAAATGTCTTCAAATCTTCTGCCCATTTTTAAAATTAAATTGTTTTTTATTATTGAGCTTTAAGATTTTTTTATGTATCCTGGATAAAAGTCCTTTATCAAGAATGTTTTACAGACATTTTCTCCTTGTCTATGGTTTGTTTTTAAGTTTTCTTAATCATGTCTTCATTTTTCAAGACTTTATTTTTTAGAGCAGTTTTAAATTCACAGCAAAAGTGAGACGGTACAGATTTACCACACATCTCCTGAGCTACTCATGCATAGCCTCCCTCGTTATCAACATCTCCCACAAGAGTGGAACATTTATTTACAATCAATGAACCCACACTGATATATCCAGTTTACATTAGAATTCATTCTTGGCATTATATATTCTATGGATTTGGACATACGAGGTCTGTCTAGAATGTATCCAGCCATGTAATAATGAAAAATAGAAACATTTATTGAAGAAGATACAAGAAACATTGTACATATGACAATGACACCTCAGTCCCCTTCAAAGCAGGCACCTTGGGACCTCACACAGTTCTCCCAATCATCATCAGCTGCCCCATTGTATTTTCCTGAATCTCATCAACAGTCTGAAATCTCTTCCATTTCAAAGGTAATTGTAGTCTTGGGAAAAGCCAGAAGTCGCAGGGTGCCAAATCTGGGCTGCAGGGGGGCTGAGTCACCTGGGTGATTTGATGTTTCACCAAATAACTCTGCACGAGACATGATGCATGAGCGAGCCTATTGTTGTGATGGAGCTGCCAGTCACCAGTTGCCCATAGCTGCAGCCTTCTGAATCATCCAAATACTTTCCACAGAGGGATGTTCAAGCATAGCGTAATATTTTATGCAGATTTGTTGCTCTACTCAAGCATTCTGAATGCAATGACTACACAGTACACATGCTCACTAAACATCATCTACCACTCCCACTGACTAGTACAGTGAAATCATCATTGTTCACACACGCACATTCCAGTCCACTCTCCTTGGCTGCCAGGTTACACTGATGTCATGCAAACCATCCTCATTATATTAACAATGGCCGGACTTTTTCCAGACAGACCTCGTATGCATAACATGTATCCACCACTGTAACATCATAAACATCCTCTGAGCTCCACCTATTCATTCCTCCCTTCCCACCACTGATCTTTCTACTCTCTGCATAGTTTTGCCTTTTCCAGAATATCATATAGTTGTTATTATACAGTATTGGCTTCTTTCACCAACTAGTATGCACTACTAAGGCCTCTCATTGTCTTTTTGTGGCTTGATTGCTCATTTCTTTTTTGGTGCTGAATAATATTCCATTGCCTGAATGTACTAGTTTATCCAGTCCTTCACCTACTGAAAGACATCTTGGTTGCTTCCAGTTTGGTGCAATTATAAATAAAGCTGCTATAAACATCTGTGTGATATTCATAAGAGCAAAAGTTTTTAATTTTTTGAAGTCCAATTTATCCAATTTCATCAAATTTTAACCAATTGTTTTTGGGTCATATGTAAGAAATTTTTGCCTAGATCAAGATCACAAATATTTTCTTCTATGTTTTCTTTTAGAAGTTTCATAGTTTTCTTTCTTACACCTAAGACTATGATCTGTTTTGAGTTAATTTCTGCAAATGGTGTAAAGTAAGGGCCACCAAGATTTTTTTTGCTTATGGATATAAATTTATTCCAGTGTCATTTTTTGGAAAGACTATCCTTTCTTCATTAGACCTAAAACCCACAAAACTCAGTGAAGAACTAGATACATAGCAAGAAAGAAGGTGCCACTGAAAACCAAAATTGTAATGTGGATGGACTCTTGGATAGAAATAAGTCAGAAAAAGCTGAATGGTTTGCAAAAGTTTGATTTATGTATGCTAAGTTGGAGATAGTTGAATGTCCAGCCAATGGTTAGAAATTCAAGACTCAAATTCAAGGCAATCAATATCAGATATGTTTTTTTAAGAGTTAACTATTTCAAAGATATTAGTTGAAGCTGTGATGAGTACAGACAAGGAGAAAAGCAATGAGCCAGAACCAAATGTTGGACAATGTTCCACTGAGGGGGTGAGAAAAGAATTGAAGTAGAAAAAATATAAAGCAGGACTAATTAAAAGAAAGATACAAAGAAAATCAAGACAAAATAATTTGTGGACAATAAAAAAAATGCGAAAAAGAACCAGTCAGCAATATCACAAGCAAGAAAATTTAAAAAAATAAAAAGCATCTACTGAATTTAATGTTTGGGGGATACTAATAATTTGTAAAAAAATGCAGAAAAGCAAACTTTACCCAAAAGAGATATGTGGAAACTTGTATCAGTTAAGTATTACAAAATAAGAACTTCATTCTATTATTTACTTCCAAAAAAACAGTTTTTAAAATATGGCTATAGCAAAACATATTACAAGCAAACAAAAGTTAATATATTTAGCCATTTTTAATTTCCTATTTGTCACAGATTTTTCTAGTAAAAATTCAAAACAGCTAGACAGCGAACAGTTATGCTAAAAAAAAAAAACACACTTAAAATCCCCCAATTTTCCTAAATATTTTATGTCTGATAGAAATAAAAGATGGGATTATGTGTATACACGTTACTTTGCTTAATTTGAGAAATGTCATTAATCTAAAAAAAGTAACAAGCCTCTTTCAGTTCTGAACTAAAGCCTTCACATAATTCTATTAACAATTATTAATATAACATGTTCATTTCTTTGTTTAACCAGACTTTGAAAGATCTCTCCCTTGAATTTATAGATATTTAAATTTCCTTTTACTATAATTTAACATCGATTATAAATTCTAGAATTGATTTTATGCAGTAGTAACCATAGTAATAAAACACATTTTTAAACAATGGTAATGAGTATAATATATGCCCTAAACACGATATTTATCAGATGTTTATGTTTAATCATTTCTAATTTTGTTCTACTCTCTAACCTGATTAGAGATATCTTTACTATTAAACTGAAGAGTCAAAGATACTAATACGCTTTCTCCTGGCAATGCTCTCCAGATAAAGAACACAGGAGCACTATTGTAGTTCAATGAGTTGGATCTATTACTCATTGCATCAAGAGATGAATCCTCGAGGCCCACCATGGGGGACTGGGAATATTTTAATAAGAGGGTGTTAGAAAAGACTTACAGGATTTGGGATTGTGTTAGGAAGTGATAGGTTTTAGGAAGTGAAGCTTTGCTCTGGATTTACGGCTGTGAGGAAGTAAGGGTAATTCTAAGATTAAACATCTTAGTAAAATCTTATCTATAGGGCGAGGCTAAAGCTGTAACTAACTAGTAGAGGCAGCAGTCACTCATATTAGGTGGGAGAGGGGATGTCTGGCACTTTGTGGCTTGGACAACATTCATGTTTTGTCTGTGGACATGATTATGAAGTGGTATTGTTTCTGTCTTGATCCATCAAGGACACAAAGCAGCTTTGGTTTAATGTTGATATTCTGTGCAACTGTTTATCTTCAACAGAAGAACACCAAGTCTAAGCAGGCTTGTCAGGACAGTTCTTAGCAACACCAAGGCCTTGGTGATAGTACAGCCAGCTTCTAACAGTTATGACTACTTTCTCTTTCTTTCTCCTAAAGCATGTGGCAACTTACATAAAACAATTTCAACTACAATATTTAAGAATTATTTAGTGATTCAAAGAAACTGAATTAATTAGTAGAGCCTAAGTACAAAATAGAGTAAGAATATTTATAATTTAAAGATTGTTATAAGATCAGTTGAAAGAAACCTAAACAGGATTCTTTATCTTCCCTCACTCTAAAATGTAAAATGGTAATTTTTTCAAGACACTATCACATTTTCCCCCCAGTAGCTATATATACAGTATGTAGAGGACAAACAGTTTTCAGGAAAACTATTAAACTGAAAGACCTGCATTTGAAACCCAATTCAATCATTGACTGTATGTGACTGACCTCAAATACATTCCTTAGCCTCTCTATCGCTCAGTTTCCTCTTATGCAAAATCTTCTCAATATATCTACTCAATATATCTACTCGAGATTCTTCTGCAAAATCTACTCGATATATCTACTCGGAAATATCTACTCAAGTTGTTTTGAAGAAAAAACAAAATGATGCATATAAAATGTGTTGCACACCTGGCACATAGAAATTAATAAATCACTGCTTTTATTCATTTTTGTTATATTGTCATAGTCTTTGTAAACATCAATACTCGCCTTTATATTTTAAAAGCCTCCAAAGTACACTGGGACATAAATCACCTATAACTGATAGTTTGTTATCAGAATCCAAATCAATATCTTTAATCTTAAACTTAGGCAGTTTACACTTATCATACAGATAAAAATATAAGCAAACCAGAACATGTTCATTCTGCTAAGTTTAAGCAAATCTGAAAAAGAGAGGACCCAGAAGTTATTGAGCATGCCCAATTCCTTTTCCCAGTTTCATCAATCACAAAGAAAAGGAAATACATTGCTCCTATCCTTTTCCCTCCTAAGTAAAGTGTAAATTTCCTCCCCTCTAAAGAAGTATCGAGAATGGAAAATAATGCCCCTCCTAAAAGATGGCCTTAAGGTTCTAGATGCTAGGAGATGAATTGAAACACAGTTCAAACATTAATAAGGTATGATGCTTGCCCTCTGATCTGGACAAGATAATGCTACCTGTCATAGTGCCTCACGGTCTAAACAGATGAGACTTCAGGAATTCAATGTGAAGAACCCATAAAAAATCCAGTGGACATATCAAGTAAATGATTTGAGTATGTCAGGAGTTCAGAGTAGGGCCCAGACTAAAAGAAAAGATGTAGCAGTTTTTTAAATGATCATTTAAACTATAGGAAAAGAGGCTGACCAAAAAACAAGAGCCTAGCATAGGAGAACAGAACGGAGGACAGATTATCAGGGAGTGATAACATATGGATGTGGAGTACGGGGAGGAGGCTGTGAAAGTGCCTCAGAAGAGATGCAGGGATGAGGTGAATCAAGACAATGTTTCTCATTTCCCTCCCCCTCCCACCACCCCCCTCCCCAGACCCAACCAGAGATCTTTCCACCATATGACAGATGCTCAACCTTTTTCTCCTGGAAGATGAGCAATTTACTTCCAAAATTTGGGCATTTTGTTGCTAAGTTGCTAAGAAGTAAACTTAAATGTTGCTGGGGGCAGAGGGAGGTCAGGGATCAGGACACAGAGAGAGTGAATACAAGGTACATCTCATTGTATTGTGCTTAATTTTATTGCACTTCACAGATGGTGCCTTTTTTACAAATTGAAGGCAAGACTCTCCACCTGCAAAAAGATTAGGACTAGCTTTGTTGTGGTGGTTTGGAACTGAACCCACAATTATCTCCAAGGTGCGCCTGTATATAAAAGCACTATTAAGTCTGTTAGCAGCTGTTAATACATCAGTAATGATGACCATGGACAGTAGCATAAATTAGACAGCCTCTAGGGAATGCAAAATTGCCAACAACACTTGCATAAACACCTTTGTTTCCCACTCAGGAAAGCAGTCAGAATGATGTTAAAAAGGTAACCCAAGCCCTGGCCAGGTGGCTGAAGCATCTGCCGGTACAACGAAAGGTTGCTGGTTAGGTCCCCAGTCTGGGCACATTCTTAGCTGGTGGGTTCCATCCCTGGTTGGGGGCACATATGGGAGGCAACCAATCGATGTTTCTCTCCCTGCCTCCCCGTCTCTCTAAAATCAATAAAACATATCCTTGGCTGAGGATTTAAAAAGAACAGTAACCCAAATCTGTTCAAAGTTCGTAATAGTTAAATCACTTGTCCAAAAACTTCTCTTGAGAAAAACTGTACTGAAAGCCTCTAGTTTCAATTCACCCTATCTAAAAGAACCTGCTCCCTTCCAGAAGGTCACCTGTACTGCAGGAGACCCAAAATTTCATCCCTGGGGAGCATTTCAGCAGATATTTAACCAACAGAAAGTTAGGGTCCTCCTAGAGAAAAAAGTAATGCAGGCGGGGGCGGGGGGGAATCAGCATCTTACTAATTTCCATGGGATTCCTTTTAACTTGTCAACACGAAAGCCATTCTTTCATTTAAAATAGGACTTTTCTAAGGATAATTGTCTTTTTACAAACTCATGATGGTTGTTATTAGGCTCTTGCAAGTCTTTTCGGAAATCAAGCTAAACTTTTTAACTCTAAAATTTTGAGAGCCAGCCTCCCTCGAAAGATGAGTTCCATGGCTATCACTGAAAAGTGGATTCAAATCCCAGATAACAATCTTAAAATCAAAGCAGTTGAAACAGGTTCAAACTCAAGGAGCCAGAAGGATCCGGAACCATAATAGCACCGACCTCACAAAACGGTGGTGATTAAATAAATTGTACTTGCAAAGCAAAGCGCTAGGAACAGTACCGGGCGAACAAGTACTCCAATAGACGTTAACATTTAACCAGCACCGGGAAAGAGGGAAGGTGCTTAGGCAGGCTTAGCGGAACAGCGGAGACCCAGCAGGTGGGCAGAGACAGCGCCCAGGAGCTGGGGCACAGCTAGTTTCTGGTCGCTGTGGGTGGCGTCCTCACAGGGAAGCGTCAACGCGTTGTCAGGCAACCGGGTCTCCAAGGCACCGCTGACGGCGGCGGCCGGAGCGGCCCCACCAGTCCAGACCTCGGAACCAGGGCACCGCCCCCAGCGAGACCCCCACCCACAAGGGATCCCCACCCACAAAGAACCCGTAGACCGGGAGCCAGGCACAGGCCCCGGCCCTGCTGCGAGATCCCGAACCCATAACTCGCCCACTGCCCCTAGTCCGGCAGCCTCGAGACCTACCCCCGGCAGGGAACCCGTCCCACCAACCCCCGTCATCCCGACACCGCCGCCAACCTGGCAGCCGCGAGACCTCAGCCCCCCGCGAACCCCTCTCCCGGGACACCCCCTCCAGCCAAACCCGGCAAGGCCCGTTCCCAGCCCGAGGCCGGCTAACACTTACACGGATGAGCGGGATCGCGTCCTGGGAGACGGACAGCCCTCTAGCGAGGTTCTCCCCGGTCCGAGGAGGTGGCCGTGACCGCCCGTCGCGGGCTCCGCCTCTTAGGCCGAGCTCTCCGCCCGCCTTTCGTCAACTGCCGAGCGCGGCACCGCCCCCACTGGGAACCCGGGGGAAGCCCGTTCGGCAGGGGGCGACCCCTGCTGGCCCGGAGGCCACGCAGCCACCCGCCGGTTCACGGAGCTGTCCGACAACCAGGCTGGAAACTCCGCCGCCGGGTTCTCCCGCTCCGCCTGCGGGTTGTTAAAACGTGGGCGGCATTTCCCAGGCTAAATTGATTCCAGCCCCTTCCAACCCTGCAAGTCCCAGCTGGGGAAAGAAAAAAGGACAGGTATTGGCAGTCACAGAAAAACTATTGGCATACCTCTTCTCCAAGGAGCCTGGTCAAGGTTTTATGTTGGGCTTTTACTACCAATTTCAACTTATCCAATTCATCCCTTTACTGAGTGCTACCACTAGAAAAGAGTCCGAGCTTCCACGGAACGTAGAACTGAGTCCTTTATCCTAAACTACTTTGTAAGAGACTTTAAAAGACACTTTCTATAACTTCAAGTCTATCAAAACCACAAGCGGGTGCGAATTAGATCATTTTAATGTTTTTATTTTAACTGTATGCTACGTGCCGTAATAGGAGTGCAATATCCTGAATTCTAAAACTTACTGTAAGAAGAGAAACTTCATAGTAAACAATACATTACAGTGCAATATAACAGAGAAACACCTACAGACACTGCAGAAGGAATGATTACTGGGGAGAGGAGGAAGTTTTAAAGATATGGTAAAGATCGTTGAGCTTTTTTAAAGATTAATAGGGGCTTCCAGGTATAAAAGTGGGGGGTGCATTTTAAGCAATGCTAGCCATATATGCAAAATCTCAAGGGTGACTTAAAAAAGATGAAGCTGGAGAGGTGCTATCTTCCCCCGCCCCGTTTCCCCCTTTCTTCCATCCCTGCCCCCAGCAAAAATATTTATTAAACATCCTTGTTAGGGATAAAACAAGGAACACAAAACTAGTTCCTGTGATTTAGAACTTAGAATCCCGTGCGGAGTGGGAAAGAGGAAGCGAAGAAGGAATACGTAAAACAAGCAAAAACAAAATAATTAAACATTGTATTAATGTTCCTGGAGCTCGGTTCTTCCCGCCGACGCAGTAAAGGATTGCAGGTCAGCAAAACGAAAGTAGACGAGTAAGTTTCATTAGTACGTTCCTAAGAGAAAGAATGGGACCTGACGGTGATAGCAAAGCGGGGGCCCTTCCTTGTCTCTGAGGTCTGGAGACCTAAATGTAAAGCAGTGGGGGCGAGCCAAGTTATATATGCTTTCCGGGAGTGCAGTCCCTAGCTTGACTGATGGGTCCTGGAGGTGAGGGGCGAGTAAAGAGCAATGTTGATTCCTGTTAATTATTATATGAGTATAGGTTATCTGAGGTCGCGGCAAAGGCTGTCAGTGCGCATGCTTTAAGATGGGAATTTCTCTGTGGCTTCTAGCTTCTCGCTGTTTCTTCTGCTGGACTACGATAAAGTCAACAGCTAAGCCGCAAAGGGTGAAGCTTCGACCACCCTGACCGCCCCCTCCCACCCCCGCCCCGACCTCTCCTTCCCAGCCGTTCTTTCCTAACCGATGCCTAACATTAGCTGTTGGAAGAAAACAGGTAAGATGTTGAGATTAATTCGGTCTTGAAGAAAGAGATGGTTTACCGGAGCAATGCTGAAAACTAAACTTTCAAATACTATAGCAACTGGATACTGGACTTCTTTAGAACACTGGTAAGTCATATACAAGTTCTGTGGCCTTGCCGGATAGCTGGAGAACGCGTGGTGCCAAACCCCCACGAGCCCGTAGGGTTCTACGCATGTGCAGCGGCTCGTCATAAGCAAATTAGGATGTCATGTTTCTCTTTCAACAAGCATCCAGAACTACTTACATGTCAGCTTTTCCGCAAACATGACTTTTTTTAATCTTTCAGCAAACTATATTTCATGTAGGCTACCTACACCCTCATAAAGAAGAGTTTTTCCCACTACCCCAGCTTAAGAACCTACCCACTTTAATATGGCGGAGACAGAGCCTGCGCAGAATGAACAAAGAAGGACAATTCCAATTTCGGGCAAAACAGTTAACATGCCCTTCTTCCGGTGCTGTAGGCTATACCATTCCCACATTTAATCATTTTTTGTCCTAATTCACATACATTATTTTCCAAGATAATACGTTATCCCTTACGCCACGAGAAGATTCCTCTGCCTCTATCTATTGTGTAAGTGCTGTTTATATGGTCGAGTTTCCGAAGGGCCCCGCCATCCCCGAATGGTCTGCACCAACTTCCCCTCCGGTTCCAGGTGTCATGGCTGCCTCGAGAGGCTAGTACGAATTTGCACCCGTGGTGCGGGGTCCGAAGCCCACACCCGGAAACCCAGCGAGGTAAAGCTGCATCTTGGTTGTCGAGGCGAGAGCTTCTCGGCTTCCTGGAGATGGCGGCGTCCGGGAGTTGTATGGCCCAGAAAACCTGGGAATTGGCCAACAACATGCAGGAAGCCCAGAGCATCGATGAAATCTACAAATACGACAAGAAACAGCAGCAAGAAATCCTGGCGGCGAAGCCCTGGACTAAGGAGTGAGGAGGTCCCTGGCGAGACGCAGGGGAGGGAAGGGGAGGCGGGAGTTTAGGAGACCTAGGGGGAATGGGAATTACGGGGGTGGAGAGCTTGATTTTTCATGAACGGGGAGAAACAATACGCACCTGAGAAATTTTGTCTTTTATCCCCATAAGTAGAGCCTAAGCCCCACCACTGGAGCTTTCTTCGTCTCTCTTTTCTGTTTAACACTTTTGCCTCCGAAGGATGGAAGAGGAAAACGGCAAGCCGTGATTTGGGGTGTCCCTTCTGAACATTCGTATTGTAATCTATGCCACACACACTGCCTGTACCCTATGTCGATATACACCTTGTTGGGACCTTCACCTGATCCCAAACTGTGGAAATAGCACTGTCTTCAGAAATTGAGCCAGCCTATGGGTCTCTAACTATGAGTCATCTTTTAGAGATCTATAATCGTTTGATTGCTGGTAGTTATTTCAGAAACACACGAGGCTCTACCCAGTTTCCCAAAATGTTACTCCACCAGTGCACGTAAGCTAGAAATCATACCGATAGAGCTTAAGGCTTTTTGCCCCTTAACAAAATTCCTGTTTCCCCAGGAGTGAGGACAAGCTGAGGATTCTTTACTGGAGAGCAGATTTTGGCACAGTCTCTCTAATGGAGAGATAGGAAGAAGAGCGGTGGTCAACAACAAAAACCATACTTCATCTGTCTCATAGTTTTTTACAAGGCAGGCTTTAACTCAGTTTTCAGATCCAGCAATGTTTATTGAATGCCTAATATGGGCTGAGCACTGAGCTTGAAAGTTCCATGTCACTTAATCCTCATGGCAGGCCAGTACTTTGTTTTCGTTCTTTTGCAAATAAGAAAAAAAGCAAATACAAAAAGTAACTTATTTCATAATCACAGAGGCAAAAAACTCCTCTAAGTGACCAATAGTCAGACCTAAGATCAAATCTCACTACTGTCACTAACTAGTTGATTGACCCTAATTTACTTATCCATCTTTTTCTGTGAAATGGAAATAAGGCCTATTGGTGATGTCATGTAGATTAGATAAGTTAATATATAAAAAGGATGTACTAGATAAGGTATATAAAAAAGGATGTCTAGAATGTATGTAACAGGAGCACAATAACTTTTTATTTTTTTATTTTCCCCAATAATTGGAGAACCCAAGATTTTAATTCATGTTTTGACTCCCAAAAGCAAGTCTCCATGTCTTCAATTTATAATTAAAATCTGTGGGCAGACATCTTAAAAAGGCTTCTCATAGACACTGACCACTCTATACAGACTAGCCAGTTTGCCTGGAGGTCTGCTTTCCTCTACAGCAGGCTATGCATTTTAGGTTGATATAGCCTAAATATTTGGAAGCTATCAGCTTGCCTCACTGTCTGATTGTAGCTTTACTCATACTCATTTTACCTGTCTTGGGCTATATCAGTGAGATGGAAAATAAATTTTATTCAAGAGTAATTTATTCACATTTACAGATTATTATAGTAGAACTAAAGATAGTAGGGCTACATTTTTAATTTTGAAATTGATAACCACAGAAGTTTAGTAGGTATCAGGCACTAAGCTAAGCACTTTATATACATTACTTCATTTAGTTTATTTCCTCCTAACAATTCTATGAAATACCCCTATTTACAGATGAGGATACTGGGGCACAGATATTAAGTGGTTATTTCAAGGCCACAGCTAGAACTTGTCAGTGCAAGGATTCAAACCTAGGCTTATGAATGTCAGATGCATTCTTATCCACAAGGCCAGAGGTGAGAGGCCTGAGAATAATTAGGTACAACCATCCAACCAAAATCACAATCAGAGATTTGGTGATTCCAAAAATAATGGAGAAAAGGTCTATTGAACTAGTCATGTACTTACCTCTTTTCTACTTGAACGGTATATTCCAAAAAACTATTTCATACTCTTCCCCTCTCCCAAGGGGAAATATTTGTCAGGACTGACATGTTTATTATTTCGATCCCCCTGGAGAAACTCTGTCCTTTTCTACTTTTTCCCACATTCTACATGTTCTCCCCCTTCCACCACTATAAATTCCTTCGATACTTACTCATTATCTTGACACAAACTCTTTTGAAATTTTACTTTATATAAGAAAGTTAATTACACCATGCTTTTGTTTTGTAGTCACCATTACTTTAAGTACTGCAAAATCTCAGCATTGGCTCTACTGAAAATGGTGATGCATGCCAGATCAGGAGGAAACTTGGAAGTGATGGGCTTGATGCTGGGAAAGGTGGATGGTGAAACAATGATCATTATGGACAGTTTTGCTTTGCCTGTAGAGGGCACTGAAACCCGAGTAAATGCTCAGGCTGCCGCTTATGAGTACATGGCCGCATATATAGAAAACGCCAAACAGGTAAAAATATTGTTCCTTAAAGTTTAGTTACTGCAAGTAGAAGAGTCTTACGGTGATTTTTTGACTTTCTAAACTTAAA